TTACATGAGTCATCTGCATAATTTAGGAATATAGGCGGATGCTACATAATCTCAGCCTTACCAATAATATCTGATTTAAATCATGTTTATCCGGTGTCATTCCTCATAACTTTATTGGGATTTCTTGTTTAACAAAGGTAATTGAGACTGGCATTTCCATTGCTAAGAGATGTGGTAAAGCATGTTGTTGTGGAACTGAATTTAGCAGCAGCAATCCCTGCAATTCATGCTACTATGGCTAAGTGAAATTCCCAGGTAGTTAAGGAATAACTTCACATGGCTACAACTTGTGACTTCCTTCTGGCTTCCCACAAGCAAAGTCAATGAGAAAATTGCCTAGAATTTGCAAATCCCAGGCAGCTCACAAGCAGGATGGATGGGGAGGGAGGGAGGGGGGAAGGAGAGAGAGAGAGAGAGAGAGAGAGAGAGAGAGACTGACTGTCTGTTGCCATGAGTGCGTGTTGGCAGGGAAAGGTTTCTGTGACACTGTGTGAGTGCATGAGAGCTGAGGAGGGGATGCAAAGACATAACCTGAGTATAAGTAGACCTCTACTTACAACATAACATTTAATGACCGTTCAAAGTTACAATGGCACTAAAATAGTGACTTATGACCGTTTTTCACAGTTACCACCTTTGCAGCATTCCCATGAATCAAAATTCAAATGCTTGACAATTGGTTCGTTCTTATGACCGTTGCTGCGTCCCAAGGTCATGTGACCCCCTTCTGCAATCCTCTGACAAGCAAAGTCAATGGGGAAGCCAGATTCACTTAGCAACCGGCTTACTAACTTATCAGCTGCAGTGATTCACTTAACACTCATTATTATTGTACTGGTCTCACGCCCTTCGGCAAACAAACTGCCTCCTGCTACAGCTACAGTTTCAAATTTTGACGCAAAAGTCCAGAGCACCTGCTGCTATTTTTCTGCATCCCAGTTCCTCTATATAGTTGAGTTTCTTAGCCTTATTTCCACATCTGAGATATGGCTTTTTGGGTGCAATTCTTCCATGGAGACTATTTCTAGCCAGACTTCTTCGGACAGTAGATGGATGTACCTGGGTACCACTGGTTTCTGTCAGTTTTGTGCTAATGGCGCTGGATATCTTCTGAAGTCAAAGGGAAGTAAACTGTCAGGATTCCAAGAAACACGCCCAATGAAGGCTTGAGTTTCCTCAAAGTTCCACTTTATTAGAGATATCATGTTGGCACATCTGGGAAAACCCGAATCTGAAAGCTTCCAGTATGTGTGTTTCATTTGCTGTATCAAATTTCCTTTGGTTGACCACTGCATCTATGGTCTTCAGTGCTGCCCATTTCTTTGGGCTTATTCAAAAGAGCTTGAACAGCACATCTTGAAATCCCAGTCTGCTTTGAAATCTTTGCCTGGGAGAGACCTTGCTGATGCAGTATACCTACCTTTTGTCTTGTCTCTCTGCTCAGTTTTGGCATGGTGTATGACCTGTGTCTTGAAACTATCTTCTACAACCTCACTTCAGTAGCAGAGTTTGGCTGTTCCTCACCTACTTTTAAGCTTCCTACACAGCTGTTTCTGTTTCGGTTAATGACTGTGTTTCAAATTTCAGATGCAATTGATGATCATTAGCACCTGCTTGGTATAATTGATTAATCACACACCTGACTCTAATCCTACAAAAACCCTGACTCTGTGCAAGTGTAAGAACTGACACTGTTTTGAAGGCAAAGGGTGATCACACCAAATATCAATTTGATTTGGATTTCTCTTCTGTTCATTAACGTCCCCTTAGGTTAATTGATAAAAATAAACTATCAACACTTCTATTTCTGAAAGCATTCTTAATTTATAGCAGTTTTGCACAACTGCTTAACACTTTTGCACAATACTGCACTTCATTATCCCTGAGGAGTAGTAATATCCCCCTAGGAGTAATAGTAAGGAAGAGTATTGGGCATATTTAATTTTATCAAGGTTTTTAAAAGGCTAGCAAATTTATCTTTATTAGAATTACGCAGGGGTACTCATGTAGTTTCCCTAAAGAGAAACATTATAATCTTATGAAAAAATAATTGAAGGATCACTGAAAATAATTAAGAATCCAGAAATATTAGAAATAATAAAACTTTGAAAGAGAAGAAGTAGTACACAATAAGTACTTATAAGCAAGGAAATATTATCCACAACAAAGAAGCATATTAGATGGTGAAATCCTGGCACTTGTTTATTAAATAGTGACAGGATACAGATATATATATCTGTATATATATATATTTAAAGTCACAACCCCTGGTATGCCCAAATATGGGAGGAAGATCACTACTTCCATTCTCTGTCCTTCGGCTCGTCACAAGAGACCATCCAGACAGAACCCAATATTTTTCACTGTTGCCTTTTTGTTACAAATATAACAAATATAAGCACAAATATAACAAATCTCTCTCTCTCTCTCTCTCTCTCTCTCTC